TGGACCTCCACTTCCACTTGGTACCCATTCCTCCCACTCTGCCATCTCCTGAAACTCCAACTTCTCCAGTGATTGAAATGGCTGAATTAGAGACGCTCCATTTCTGCCATAGAACTCAACACTAATTATCTTAACAAAGTTCATCCTTTCTATATAAAGCTCTTTGAGAGCAGGTAACCCCCCAACTGGTGGCAGCGACCAACAATATTTACAATCGCTAAGACACATGACTTGTATGTTAGAGAAGCATGAGTCTCCTAACCAATTCGGGAAGTTGGTTCCACCGTAGAATTGGATGGTCAGTTTCTCCAAACTAATTGAAGGCTGGAGCTTGTCAAGTACATCTCTCACTTTTTCGGAATCATCCGAGTCTTCATCGCCCCATCCGAACTTTAACTCCTTCAGATACTTCTTATTCTTCAAATTGGCCTGCACGGCATCCTTAGCATCAACTACATTTTGCAGATTTAGAATTGAAAGTTTTCCTCGAAGATGTGGAAGCTCCCCCAACTCCCCAGTGGTCGACCCAGTAGATTTCCCCACAACAAAAGCAGTCAAAGTTCTCAAACTTTTTAGTCTACTCATTTGCGATGGCATCTTTGTAATTTTAGTTCCACTCACATCAAGATGATACAAACTACTTAATTTCCACAGGTCTATAGGCAATTTAGCAAGAGACCGACAACCTCCCAGCATTAATTTTTGTAAATTTGTCAATTTTCTGAAGTCTACAGGTAATTCAATGAGAGATGAACAATTTGACAATAGTAACGTTTGCAAATTGTACAAACTGCAAACTACACCAGGTAACCTTTCAATTGTAGTACGAGAGAGATCCAAATAGCGCAAGTGAATAAGATTTTTAATAGAATCAGGTAGCTGAGTGACATTCCTATAACGTGACAATGACAACACCCGTAAACATCTGTGTGACAACAACAAATCTTGTACAAACTTTTTACTTAGATAATACTCTTGATAAGTATTTAAAGGGGTAGGTAGGAAGGTCCGCAAACACTTAGCCCCCTTTAATGGCTCAAATTTAAGAGCAACATCAAAATATTCCCTAGCATATGACAAATGGCGAACTCTTTCTACTTCATGTAATTCCCTCCCTTCCCACCTGGAACAAAATCCTTTAGACATGAACACAGCCAAGTCATTGATGAGATCATGCATAACGAAACTTGATTTCCCCGACGTTTGAAACAATGATCTGGATAACAGTTCATCAAAATATTCCTTAGCTATCTCTTCCATTCTTTCCCCATTCTCAGATTGGGGAATTAAACCTTCTCCCATCCAAAGAAAAACAACATCTTCTACCTTGAATTCATAGTCTTTTGGCAAAATTGAACAATAAATAAAGCATCGCTTTAACTTAGCTGGAAGATAATGATAACTCAATCCTAGAGCAGGAAGAATGTCACTTTTCTTGTAAGGTAACTCCCAAATGCTGCTGTTTAGTACTCTGTTCCATACCTCGGAGTCTAGCCTAGAACGTAACAGACCGCCGAGTGTTTGTGCAGCTAAAGGCAACCCATTGCACTTGCGTGCAATTTTCTTGCCGATTTCTTCCAAGCTTGGATGTGAACTATAGCTTACATTTCCAAATGCATGTTTCGCAAGTAATGACCAACAATCTTCATGCGACAATGGTTCCAAGGGTTGAGTAGGAACATTTTGCATGAAAGATGCTACATTTTTGTTCCGTGTTGTTACGATGACTTTACTTCCCCTTGCCCCTGAAGTAAAAGGAGTTTGGAGGCAGTTCCAATCAGAATATTTCTCATTCCAAAGATCATCCAACACAAATAAAAATTTCTTCCCCCTGAGTTGTTCTCTTAGTTCAACTTGAAGCAAATTCAGATCTGTCGTATTGCTAGGTTTGGAAGTGACTGACTCAAGAAGAGTTTTAGTTACCCTGATAGCATCATAGTCTTCTGAAACACAAGCCCAAGCTTTAAGTGTAAAATGCCCTTTCACCTTATCATCATTGTAAAGCATGCGGGCAAGGGTTGTCTTGCCAACCCCGCCCATTCCAACAATAGTGATGACGGACACATCCTCCTTGCTTGCGTCATCAGAGAACAACAGTTTTGATAAATTTTCTTTGACTTCATCTCTACCATATACAAAAGGTTCATGAACCAAGGAAGTTGTTGGAGTTCTTTGTGAAACCTTCCTCCCAACAACTTCTGTCAAACCAAGAGCACCTTTCAGTTGTACAAAGTTTTCTAGTTTTCGTAACAACTCTTGTATCTTAACATTCATTCTTTGATAAAACTTATTACGAGAAGTAGGGAGCAAGTTCCACACCTTGTTGGTAAATTTGTCCGCTGTTTGAGCTTCACCTTCGAGCTTGCATCGCAAAGCTTCATAGTTGATCTCATCCAGCAAGTCTTCCGCATCAAAGACAGCGTGTTTGAGGTCGTCAAGCCACTTTCTCACCCTTGGTTTCTCAATTTGCTTCTCCTCTGCATCATCGAGCAATGCGTTCAAGGTCAACAGCGTCGTCTCCAGTTTCATGAGGAGAGGTTGATCGAGTTTCTTGTGCCGAAATAAGTCGATGAAGTCGGGTGAAGCAATTCTGTCACAAATCACCTGGATGGAAGCAGAAATAAAGGCCTCTCCGATCAAAGCTCCAGCCATTTTTCTCTTCTTTTCTTTGCAAGGGAATTGGATGAAGTAACTTGGAAAAACAGTTAAGGCAGTATGAAAGCTTTTTATGTATTTATCAAAGTTCCGTTGGGTGGCTGTGAGTGAGTGTTTGAGTTTGTTTAGCCTAAGTGATCATAATTAACTTATAATTAGCCAGCAATATTAACTTTTTCTCTTTCACGTTCAAGGACTATTCTCTTGGGGGGACAAAGTTTTCAAACTTTTCTGTGGCGTTCACATGGGGGATGGGGTCCTCATCCCCAATCTGTACACGCAAAGTTGGCCATCGCTGAGAAACATCAAATTGTGTCGGTGGGTGGGACTGTTAGAGGATGACTAGACAACAACAATAATAATTCTACTGTCCGCAAGTGGATATGAGTGATTTATTTTTCAAATGATCCAACGATTGTGAGTTTATGACATAGTGACATGCTTTTTTTTTTTTTAATTACGGGAATATTTCAAAACATTTGTTGAATGCGATAGAGTAGTACCAGCATACGAAGACATTTGAATTGTAATTAGAAAAAATTGGTTATACTCAATAAACTGTAAAATATTAAGGATATAGTGAATGAGGTAGTCAATTGTTTTAGGCTTAGTCAATTGTTTTATATTTTTCTTAAGTTAAGGTCAATGGGTCTTGCAATGAGGGTAGTTTTGTAATGACTTTTCTACCGAATGTTTATTGGGAAATAGCCCTATATGCCACCCATTTTATAATCTTAACTAAAAATACCACCTCTCCCCAATTTTTTTACAACTAATACCTATAAATATAAAATTATTGTACACTTATTGCTCACCTAACACTTTTTCTGAAAATCACCTCTCGCGAATCAGCTCTCTCTTTGGCTCCGTCTCTCACAGTATCTTCACTCTCTGGTGACTCAGCTCTCACAAGTTCAGAAATTTTGTTCTCTCTTAGGTCATTCAGCTCTCTCTCTCTCTCTCTCTGGCACAGCTCTCTTTATCTTTGGTTTCTGTCTAACGCAGCTCTCTGTGTCTCTCTCTCTCTTGGCTCTCTCTCTCTCTAGCGCAACTCACTGTCTCTCTCTTTGCTCTCTTTCTCATAGCGCAGCTCTTTCTCTCTCTAGCTTCATTATGTCTTTTTCTCCCTCTATTCGTTCTCTTGCTCTCTGTTTGGAATTGCGAACCCCTCCCTTTAGGTATGTCTTCTGAATAGCTGCTTGCAACCTCGAAGCTTTAGTGGATCGCCGACCTCGAAAAGGTAGTGTTGATGGTTATTTTCTTAAAATCAGTGGGATTATGTGAAATGGGTTATATTTTGATTGTTTGGGTTTGTGTTAAATTCGTTTTGGCTTTAATTGCTTTGGGTTAGGTTTTGTTGAATATTCATGCTCAGTCATCTGGGTTTGTACCAATTGCACTTAGATTGGTCTGGATATGTGAATCTTGAAACTTGGGATTTTCCATTTGATGTAGTAGATCTGTATAGTGTGATTGCTGATGTGTTACTGGTGTACTGCTGTTGTGTTCCTCTTATTTTACTGTCGTATTGTTGTTATGTTGATGTTATATTGCTATTATATTGCTTTTATATTGTGGTTATATTGCTATTGTATTGTATGGTTATTGTGGTTATATTGTGTTAATGAAATGTTGTTTTGTCATGGTCAGAAATGGAGACAATTGTTATTCTCGTGTGCTACAATGGAAAATGGGTCACCTCGAAGAAGATGTGCAAATACGAAGGGGGTGAGTCAAAAGGCTTAATAGTTCCACGGACCATCAAATTTGCTGAACTGTTGGACCGTGTGCATCAGATTGGTAATACAAACAGCAGGGAAGACAAGGTTAGCTTAAAATTCTCAGTTTTGGTGGCCTCGAATGAGTCGAAGCACATAAAGATTGAGGACGATGATGATGTCAAATTTTTTATGAAGTACAATTCTGAGGTAACACCTTCAAAACTAGCTCCCTTACTCGTGAGTATAGAAGATAAAGGACTGACAAATGATGTAGTTGGTACTATGCATATCATGACAGATAGTAGTCGGATGGGTCGTTCTTCAGTTGCCATTGTTGAAAGCAATGAAGTAACTTGGAATAATACAAATGGCACTGATGTGGGAGGTGAAGTAGGGACAGATTTTATGGATATGATTGATTTTAGCGAGGTGGATCAGATGCATGGTGGTGATAATGGTACTGAAAGAAATGAAGTGTCAGTGTACTCTGCCCCTCCTATTTTGGGCTGCTTGAACACATCTGCCCAACTG